GAAGTCGTCTCCACTCTACTCGATCCATGGCCACACTTCGCCAGCCTCGTAATCTGCGAAGGGTCCGCAGGTCGCCTTCTAATTGGTCAATCCACCTTGCCCGCTGCGCGCCTCTTCTTCTTGTTCCTGTTGGGTCGCTTTCTAGAACCATTTTCACTGGATCGTCGTGCGGCATTCTTACAACGTGTCCAGCCCACCGTAGTCGCCCAATTTTTGCAATGTGGACGATGGATGGTTCTCCCAGCAGCTGGTGCAACTCGTGGTTCATTCGCCTCCTCCAAGTTCCGTCATCCATCGGCACTCCACCGTAGATGGTACGCAACACCTTCCGTTCGAAAACACCAAGGGCGCGTTGGTCCTCCAAGAGCATAGTCCAGGTCTCGTGGCCGTAGAGGACCACCGGTCTAATCAGCATCTTGTAGACAGTCAACTTCGTGCGGCGGCGAATTTTATTCGACCGGAGCGGCCTCCGGAGTCCAACGTAAGCACGATTCCCTGCCATAATGCGTCTTTGAATTTCCCCAAATACACGAACTCATCGACCACCTCGATTTCGTCACCGTCAATCTGAACTCGGGGTGGGAGGCTAACATTGTCTTCCGTAGAACCTTTTCCTTTCATGTATTTTGTCTTTGATGCGTTGATGGCAAGTCCAATCCGCCTAGCTTCAGCCTTCAGCCTGATGTACGTTTCCGCTATCGTCTCAAAGTTCCGTGCCATGATTTCAATGTCATCGGCGAAGCCTAGAAGCTGAATGGACTTCCTGAAGATCGGGCCACTCGTTTCTATCCCAGCTCTTCTGATCACACCTTCTAACGCGATGTTGAATAGCAGACACGAAAGTCCATCACCTTGCCGTAACCCCCTTCGAGATTCTAAGGGACTCGAGAGTGTCCCCGATACTCGAACAACGCACATCACTCGATCCATCGTCGCCTTGACTAATCGAGTCAGTTTATCCGGAAATCCGTTCTCGTGCATAATCTGCCATAGCTGATCTCGATCGATTGTGTCGTATACGGTTTTGAAATCGATGAACAAATGATGTCAATCCAACCTTTCACCCTTTTTGTAGATTGGGATACGACACCTTCCATCCACTCCTCCGGTAATATATCCTCCTCCCAAATCCTGGCAATTACCCAGTGCAGCGCTCTAGCCACCGTCTTTTAACAGCTCACTTGGTAGTTGATCTACACCAGTTGCTTTGTTGTTCTTCAGCCGACCGATCTCCTCCTCAACTTCTTGAAGATCAGGGGCCGGTAGCCTGTCGTCTTCTGCGCGTGCTCCAAGGTATGTTGCCGTGCCACCTTCGTTTTCTGCTGCTTCACCGTTGAGGTGCTCGTCATAGTACTGTTTCAACCTTTCAATCTCGATGAACATTTCAAATGGTCCTATCTGCTTTGATCGATTCTCTTCATCGACTTTCTCTTTTCATAACCACTGCTATGCAAACAGATTTCGCGCTAATTCTACCACATAGTTTGATAAAGGAGGTTCTTATCTAGCGTCCAAAACGTCAAATACAACAGGCAAAGGTTTTGCAGCTAAGTTATTGACGAAAGAGAAAGTCGATGAAGAGAATCGATCAATGCAGATAGGACCTTTTGAAATGTTTATCTAGCAATCACCTCACACTCGTTCGTGAGACGGTTACCGTCCAAGTCCTTGCACATATCGGCTTGCGGCACGTAGCCTTTGCGCTAACTATTTAGCTTCTCGTAGAACTTCCGTGTGTCGTTTACGCGGTACAGATTTTCCATCGCCTCGCGATCTCAGTCTTCCTGCCGACGCTTCTTCCTTCGGAAAATCGAGTTTTGTCTGTTCCGTGCTTGTCTGTATTGCTCCACATTCAATCTCGTGCGTTGTTGCAGCATTCTCGCCCGTGGTGCATTCTTCTCCTCTACTAACAGTTTGCATTCGCCGCCAAACTAGTCATTTCTTCGGTCAGGGATTGCAGTACCTAGTGCCGCTGCAGCAGAACTACCTATGGCGGAACGGAATCAAAGTCGTTCTATTTCCTGCCATCAGCTTTGTTCGGGACCAGCGGTCGAGTTCGGTGGTGGGGTCTTCCCAACCATCGTCTTTAGGCAAGAATGCATGCATACATTAGTTACAGTAATTTTCCTGATCAGCTTCCGTGTTCCAGTTGAGAAGCACTTCTGATACTGCTCATTTACAACATCCGCTTTACTGTTCGTTCGAACAATCCTAATTCATCTCCGGGACACATAATAGACCGCTCTTTGGAAGCTCCTGTTTCCGTCGTCCTGGACGTGTGGCTGGATATGAATCAGGAGTCCTCCAGCTTGCTTCTACAGGCAAGTACAATCAATATATTGACTATTCACTGCCTGATGCCGATCAAATTTTCAGCAATTCGGACTATGTTAGTCATTTTCATGATGCCTCTCTCTGTAACTCCCAATCCTGGAAACCCGGAACGCGCCGTAGAAAACCCCATGGAAGCCCCCAATCTCCCCGTCTCAGTCCTGCCATCAGCAGCCTTCGTTCGTCATAGTCGTTCCGGATCTGCTGTCGGATGTGGAGAGGGGGTATTCCAACCCACTCACTATGGCGAGTATTCAATCAGGCTTGATGATGGTCAGTTATTACCTGATGTATCTGTAATTTCCAGGGAGAGCAGTCGTTCGATTCCTTGCTGTAAGCTACTACCAAAACGCCGGTGGAATGAATTCTAACGTTGAAGAGTACCGCCTAGCTGTATCGGATCTTTGCTACGATGTAATTCTCCTGATGTAATGGTCCTGACTACGAGGTCTTTCGTTGCGATCGGAATCCCAACAAAAGCCGTAAATCTACTGGTGGAGGTGTCCTTGTAGCTGTCCATGGCGGGTTGGAGGCAAAGGCCATCGAGAATGATTCATGGAACTATGTGGAGCAGGATTGGACAGCCATAAATCTGGGTGATCGCACACTATCTCTATGCGTTCTGTACATTCCACCTGATCGAAACCGGGACAATAAACTCATCGATACTCACTGTCGGTCTGTTTTTACAGTTATCGAAAGTGCCACTCCAGTTGATGAGATATTCATTTTGGGTGACTTCAATCTGCCAGACGTGGAGTCCATCTCATAGCGGGTTATTGTATCCAGATCCAGATAGCTTTGCATTTCAGGCAGGAGCTATTAGCCTTCTCGACAACTACAGCGCAGCAACGCTTTCTCAAATTAACCATTTAGTTAACGAAAATAATCGTAGGTTGGACCTCTGCTTCGTGAGCACTCAGGACAGGGCTCCATTAATTTCCTCGGCTCCTTGTCCACATCACCCTTCTCTAATTGTCACTGTTGAGGACAAACTAGTGCGTGATTTCGACGATTATCCTGCTGCGGTTTCTTATGACTTCCGTGAAGCTGACCAGCAGAACATCCGGATGACGTTGAGGCTGCAGTGCAAACCTTTTCACATGTCTTGGCATATGTCTTTGACAGACACGTCCCGAAAAGAACTCACCACAAAGTTTCTCACCCTCCCTGGTAGACGAGAGAGCTACGTAGGTTTAAGTCAAACAAGAGAGCAGCATTGAGAAGATTTACGAAGTTTACTTGGGTATCTTGGATTTGCAGCTATCATTCAAGCGCAACACATTGCATATGTTGTCGATAAGGTGTCAAGAAGCTTAGGGTTCATTTTTAGGATAGCTAAAAACTTCACCGACATCTACTGTCTAAAATCTCTCTATTGTTCGCTTGTTCGATCGACGCTTGAGTATTGTTCAGCGGTTTGGAACCCAAACTACAACAACGGTACACCGGGAATCGAATCTGTTCAACGTCGCTTTCTTCATTTTGCGCTACGTAGATTGCCTTGGAATGATCCGTTTCGATTACCCAGTTGCGAAAGCCGTTGTCAACTTATCGACCTAGAACTTCTCCGGACTAGAAGGGACACCAGCAGAGCCATAACCGTGGCCGAGGGACGGACAGATTGCGAGGCTATCCTAAGGCAAATTGACCTGAATGTTCAACCCCGACCGCCTCTACGTCACACAAGTTATGGAGCATACGGTGCGATTTGCGGACTGCAGAGGGTATTCAACAGAGTTGCATCTGTCTTCAGCTTTCATCTCTGCCGTGATGCACTGCAAAGAAATTCTGAGCAGTGCTGTAGGAAATTTCGAGAAAAAAATCCCAGGGAAATCGAAGAAGAGATTTGAGAATATTCCAAAGAGGAATTCTAAGGTTAAATTCATGTAAATTTGGGGCCTCATGCTAGTTGTATCCCCCAGAAATTCATGAACACCTAATTAAATATCTGCTCGTCAACAGTCCAATCACGGGCTATTTGACAACCCAATCAAGACCAACAATACAAACGGTCTCAACTGCTTTCGTCAACAAAACTTTCGCACTTTCTTCGCGAATCAGAGCATGCCTTCGTAAACCAACAACACATTTGATAGGAGAACCCGCTAATGTTATTCGTTTGCGTATGGCGAGCTTTAATCCACGATGAAGGGGTTATTAAACTTTTGATTACAAAGGCTGCTCAAGTCCCTTTCTAATGTTGCTCCTGCAACGAGAGAACAAAATAAAAAAAAATAAGGCGCAAACCGCCAGCAAGAGTAATTAGAACATCATCGAAACGTTTCATTTTCCCGCTTAAATTGTACCCAATAACCAGTTACCCTTGTACCGCCCTACTACAACAACGCGTGCAAAAATCATGTAACAAAGTGCGTATCAGTAAACTACCTACAATTTTCCCAGATGCCAATATTCAATTAATTAATTTAGCTTTATTTAGGAGGCTTTCAGCCTTAGGCTGGTTCGCCTTCCAATATTCAACAAATTCGATTGCTTTGTTCAGAACATGGTGCTTACGCGGTGTGAATCGCTTCTCGAAACACAAAACAATAAAAAAAAAAAAAAAAAAAAAAAAAAAAAAAAAATAATAGTACACGGCCTTATATAGTTCCTACAATTTAAAGTTTTACTGGGATTATATAAAAGCATGTCATACAAAACATTACCCTTCTCGTGCAGTTGTACCAGAAACAGCCGCTTGTGCTCCTTCGGCTTCGTAATGTGCGGCGGAATGTACGGGTACTGCGGTGGCTCAAAGTTCGGCCGCCACCAGTTGCCGATAGTGTCCTCGACGATCCAGTCCTGCTTGACGCCATCCTGCCGGCCTAGAGTCTAATCGATGATGATACACAACATAACACATAGGTTCGTGGGTTCACACAGTTTATGAATAATAGAGAGAGACGGAAAGAATACACAGAATGGTGTGTTCGGTTTGTTTGTGAGGATTTTGTTTTTGTTTGTTTGTTGTGGTTAGTTACAATTTGTTTCGTTTGATTTTCGTGGGAGAACAATAATAAAGAATAGAAATGTTAACAATTCAGTGTTCAATATTGAAGAAATGATTTAGTCAAATCGTGTATCACATCAAAATTATCCACTTACAAGATATGACTAAATCATTGACAATCTTCTCTTGATTTGTGTTTCTTCCTGGACAAAAGTTACAATTTGGATTACACAGTAACAATTCACAAAACAGTTCTGACCATTTTCTGTATAATCGTTTCCGAAGAAACTAGTCGTACATTCTTCTCTTGTTCCAGTGGAAAGTTACAATATTCTTACAACTTTCATCTTAAGCGATAGTTGATACAATCTTCTCTTACAACTATCTCCTGGATTTCTCAAAAAGAAAAACGAAAGGAAATAAGTGTTCAAACATTCCGACTTACCTCTGTCAGTAATCGTTTGAGTCCTTCGACTTCGTCCTCTCCGGCGCTCAGTTCACCACCGGGTAGTTTAAAAAAAGTGGTTCCCAACTGTAACAGCAGAACGTGGGGAAGACCGTGTTCATGGACCTAAATATTGAAAATAAATCAACTTAAATTTAAATTTCAAAGGCGCAAATCCCAAGCAACGCATCATACCAGCAGCACTCCTTCCACCGAACGTCGCATTCCAATTTTATCAAACTCATCACGCATCCGCTGGAACCGGGCCGGTACGGAGGGATCTTTCTCAAATAACGGTTCTTTTGTGCCGAATGTGTAATTTGTCAGCGGATACCTACGGAACAAACAAAAATAATGATCATGACTGCCGACGACAAAAATCCACCCACAAGAGATACTTACAAATTGATCGTCCTATTCAGCGTCATGGACTGGTTGGTCTGCGGTTTGCTGATGTCGTTCATCGTGCCCTGGCTGGTACGCTTCGGCCATCCGGAGCCGGTTTTGTTTATGGACTGGGTAGCCATCTTTGATTTTCACTCACACACAGGAGCCAGCGCCACGGGAATTCGGCTCCTAACTGGGATATTTTACGTTCCACGTATGGCCGCGGTACTAGACTTTCGATTAAAATACAATTTAGACTGGAATTTGCTAAACTCTACCGCTAAATATCGGAAAAACTTTGCTCACTAAACGAAGCGGCTTGGCTCACTTTTTTTTTTTTCGTTCTACTTGACAGTTTACCGTCACTCGATAAAGAAGAGAGTACCTGCAGGGAAGCTGATTGGTTCTCCCTGTGACTGATGAGGTTTACACGACCGGTGCACAGTGGAACGAATTCAAAAAAAGTGGGACATGACTATTTGCGACGAAACTATTGAGTATAGCTTTTTGTTGTTTTCTAGAATTTTTCTTAACCGGCGCCGGTGGTGTAGTGGTAAGCGTGACTGCTTTCTAACACCCCGATGGGTCTGGGTTTAATCCCAGCCGAGGTCGGTGGGATTTTTCTGAGGCATAAAAATCTCTGGTCACGTCTTCCTTCGGAAGGGAAGTAAAGCCGTTGGTCCCGGCCCATGATGTGTGTTGAATGGGTGCGATATTCTACACAGGTGTGGAAGCTGCCTTCCTGCACATTCGATTGCCGTCAATGGATGGCAATCGATGTCCGTCGGTGATTGGCACTAGATTGCGGAACAGAGACCGACGTTAAATAAAGGAATGAAGAAGAAGAATTTTTCTTTATTTTTGAAGTACTTTATTTAAGTACTGAAAATTTTTGGTTTAGGAGCGTATACACTCAGATAATAAAAATAACTTTTTTATGTCTTGTTAAATTTGATGAACACCTATGGAAACATTAATGATAAATTCTTTTTAAGAATCTTTGTCCAAGGTTTAAATTTCTATCTCTCTAGTGGACGAAGTTATAGCAACAATCAATACGAAACTAATGATTTTAAATTGGCTCACCACTTTAGTAGCCTATTGGTCCCAAGCAAACGATTAACGTACCCTATTCTAGTTGAAATTCTATTACTACACTATGTTTGTTTTGATTCGCTATGAAAGTTTGACAGATAACATCAGGGGTGTGTGGATTCATACAGAACATGCAGGGGTGAGTGAAATAGCTTGGGACTGCTTGGGACCGTTGTTCTGGTACTGAGTGAGCCAAAAATAATAATGATTTTCTTCGGGACCCAGTGGTCTTAGAGTTACCTCTATGGTTATAGGGTGAAAATGGACTACAAACGGTAGTACCAACAATCAATACGAAACTAACGATTTTAAATTGGCTCACTACTTGACTAGCCTATTGGTCCCAAGCAAACGATTAACGTATCCCATTCTAGTCGAAATTCTAGTACTACGCAATGTGTGTTTTGATTCGCTATGAAAGTTTGACAGATAAAATGAGGGGTTATTGGTTTTTCTTATGTTTCGAGGGGTGAATCGATTAGCTTGGGACCGAAGAGAGTACCAGAGCTGAGCCAAAAAGTTGAGCACGTTATTTCGGGACCTACTAGCAACAATCAATACGAAACTAACGATTTTAAATTGGCTCACCACTTTAGTAGCCTATTGGTCCCAAGCAAACGATTAACGTACCCTATTCTAGTTGAAATTCTATTACTACACTATGTTTGTTTTGATTCGCTATGAAAGTTTGACAGATAACATCAGGGGTGTGTGGATTCATGCAGAACATGCAGGGGTGAGTGAAATAGCTTGGGACTGCTTGGGACCGTTGTTCTGGTACTGAGTGAGCCAAAAATAATAATGATTTTCTTCGGGACCCAGTGGTCTTAGAGTTACCTCTATGCTACTAGTCTTAGAGTTACCTCTATGGTAGTACCAACAATCAATACGAAACTAACGATTTTAAATTGGCTCACCACTTTAGTAGCCTATTGGTCCCAAGCAAACGATTAACGTACCCTATTCTAGTTGAAATTCTATTACTACACTATGTTTGTTTTGATTCGCTATGAAAGTTTGACAGATAACATCAGGGGTGTGTGGATTCATGCAGAACATGCAGGGGTGAGTGAAATAGCTTGGGACTGCTTGGGACCGTTGTTCTGGTACTGAGTGAGCCAAAAATAATAATGATTTTCTTCGGGACCCAGTGGTCTTAGAGTTACCTCTATGGTAGTACCAATATCAACTTCTTCGGCTCATTTTCCTTTCGCTTCGAAACTTCAGCAAGCTTTATCATATTCACACAATCCTGACTCGACTGATTAATTTGTTGAATTAAATTCTTACTAAAATCAGTGCTGCTCCATTCGACGCCATGCAGCCTTCATCACCGACGCTTATGCTTTGAAGGCGTTATTTTGCTCATTGGTACGAAGCATACTTGAATACGCCGCACCTGTTTGGACACCGTATCAATCTACACTAGCCAGCAAATTAGAACGAGTTCAGAAATACTTCGTTCGGTTTGCTCTCCGCCACCTACCATGGAACAATGAAACACACCTGCCTCCATATACCTCACGCTGCTTATTACTTGACTTGGAAACGCTGTCTGCCAGACGCCTGAAATTGCAGCGTATCTTCATCTTCGACATTCTTACGGATCGCATCGACTGCCCTGCGCTGCGTCAGCTTGTCAACTTCTACGCTCCATCTCGTTCACTTCGATCTCACGCTGCGCTTTACGTACCTCATCACAGAACAAGCTATGGACATAACAACCCTCTGAGTACCTGTATACGTGCTTTCAACACTGTTTATGATCAGTTTGACTTTAACATTAGCAAAAATGTGTTTAGTACTAGAATTAGAAATTTAGATTAAGTTGCAGTCTGAACGAGTATATCGAAGACGAAGGAATAAATAAATAAATAAATAAATTCATCCTCCTTCCTTATACCGAACTCAACGGATTCTCCTCATCCTCATCTTCTTCCGATTCCTGCATTTCCAATCCTACATTGCAATCTAACTGAATTCGGGATCTTCCTGCAGATCGTTTTTTTTTCATCTCTTGGCAATCCATTTTTCTGCTTTATCCTACATTCAAATGCTAATATAATTTAAAGTTAAGTATGTTTCTTTCAAACATAAGAAGCATGTTTAAAATAAACATATTTATTTTTATTCGCATAGTTGTCAAACCAAACAAAAATATTTACGTTTATTTTCAACAATAATATTTTTAAGATAAACGAAACATTATTTTTATTTTAAACATTAATATTACATGACTTCAAACATGGAATACGTTTGAAACAAACCTTGTTTTGTGGCCAGAACAAACTGAGTTTACATTTAAATTTACCTCAAATATTTTTATTTCAACGATAATTTTTTCTGCGTGAAAGGGAGAGACTGCAAACTTAGTATAAAAATGGTTTAATGTTTAGTATAAAATTGAAATATACTTACAATGCATAGATACGGTTTATTCGAGAGAATGTATTTTTCGGTTCTTTATTTTAGTAATGGCAAATATTATTATTTTCAAATATTAATTAAAATTGTTTCAGGAAGGTTTTTTAAATGTTTTATTTTTTAGGAATATTATTTGCAAAATACTTAAAAATTCGATGTTCACTAGGATGAACTCGTGCTCACGCAGTCTAGCTGCCCAGCAGATCACAGGCGCAGCAGAAATCCGCCGGGACGAAGCTCTTCACCAGCACGAAGCTCCGAAGAGAATCCAGATGTTCTTTTTCCTATCATTTTAGTAAACACTGATCGAATTCCACTACGTTATTCGGGCTTAGTATAATTTTGACGAAAATTTTAATCGAACCAATGTATAAATCTTGAAAAACCATAAAATGCATAAAATTTAATCTATATTCGTTTTGTAATATTTTTGACTGAACGAGTGAAAAAATATCGATTTTTAACGATACAATCCCGACCAACCGTTCGTGAAACTTCTTCAAAGTTCTTTATACAGAAATAAAGATTCATGTCGGCAATTCTTTACTTTAAATTTTCTATTATTTCGATGTACACATTTTAAAATCTTTATCAATCGATACTTACATTTAGGATTATTTCTTCATCGGTCATATGATAGTAATCTGTAAAGGTGCCATACTAAATTTCTTTTAATTTCGATATGTCACATGGACTTCAGTATTCTTTACAAATATTCATCAATAAATATTTAAATACTGATATCATCGTTACTTTGAACTTTGACAAAGAACAACAAAGATTGCCATCGATGCACATTTATAATCTCCTTGCTATCGATTTGTATCGCTGGTTAAAGAGAGTTCGAGACACACCAGGTGACAGATGGCAATGTTTATATTATTTATCGACATATCATCGGAACAAACAATCTGCCGGTAAATGAACGAGAAGACCGAGGAGAAGATCGATGGCCGTGACGCAGCAAATGTTTACCATTGTAGTTCTTCATTTTTTATATTTAATAACCCGTGATAGCATGCGTGGCGGGATTCTCGGCATTTGGAACCCAATGTGGAAAATTGATACCTTTTTGACCTCTATTACACCTACATGGCTGACTGGTTGATGGTTATGACAAATAAATATTGAATGAAAAGATTTACAGAAATTTCAATACACCACATACTAGAGTGTGTTTGCTTGTCGTTGATAAGCTCATCAACAGCAGCCGTGGACCCGATGATTAGCAACCAACAACGAAATCAGTACACCCCAGATGGCATGGGATCGAAACTAGAAATTATGCAGATAAAAAATCCCAAATAAAATCAGCAGTTGTGTATCGATATTTTGATCTGGCAACACAATCGATATTTTAACATTGGTAACGATTGGTAGCAATATTTTGAGGAAGATCTTTATAAACGATTCACGATTAGACTTTTAGCATCTTTAGAATTATTCATGAAATGGTGACGATCGCTATCGATTTTTCCTATGAATGGCTTTGAGGATCGATGTATAGAAAATTAAAGAAAATTGACGAAATGGTTGGTCGGGATGCTCAAACAATGAAAATTAATGTGAAGAGAAAAAAAAATGTTCGGGAAAAATCAGTTTTTTATTGTTAAGATGCTTAAAAATCTTTCTTTTTTACTGTAAATTTCTCATATACCATGATTTTCATTGTTGTGAACCATGAATTTCGTTGTGATTTTATGGTAATCAACAAAAATGTTCAATGTTTTGACAGTAAATATCATGATTACAATGACAATGGAAATTAAATTTTATTGGATTTTTTTACGGATAATCCAGCTATCCATGCTCGGTAATGGCGCCCTGTTTGTATGAATAAATGTATCCTTCACTGTGCTTTTTGACAGGTTTGGATTTTGAACCCTCCCTTTCCCTCTTCCAGGAACAAGAAAATGGAACAACATACGCCCTCGAGTTAGTGTCAAAAAGCCGAGCAAAAAGCACAGTGAAGGATACATTTGCTATGAAAGTTTGACAGATAAAATAAGGAGTTCGTGGGTTTTCTTACACTCAAAAAATTCACAACATTTTTATTGACGAATTTCCATGTGAAATTCCACATGATTTTCATGTGACCATACATGAACTCAGAACGACTCAGAAGTACACATGGAATTTATGTGTCAAATAAATAGTATGTGTGGTCACACATGACTTTTATGTGTACATATATTAAGTATGTGTTTGACACATAGATATCATTTGTTGATCAAATTGGAAAAAAAAATCATGTATGGGACACATAAAAACAATCCATGAAATTTTCTTAGTGTTGAAATGCGAAGAAGAAGAAGAAGAAATATGATGGCTGCAGAGTTGATAATAGAAGAGTTACGCAGAGTGAAACTTGCAACACTGATGTCGATCGATGGGCATTATTTTATGTTGGCAATTTTTGTTTAAACACCTCGAATGACTTCACCTGGGTTGTGAAAGTTTCCTCCAGTTTCGATAACAATACTTCCCACGCAACAAAGTCAGTTTGTTCGATAGGTAGATTTTGGTTTCAGTCTGCGTATCTCTTCTATTATCAACTCTACACGGTAAGAAAAAAGTACCCAACGGTCAGTTCACGTTTACGTACTTTTGACTAGTGTTAGTCTCATTTACTCGACACATCTAAATCTCGATTTTAAATGGTCGAAAAATCTCACACTAGCGAATCAATCTACGAAAAATCTTTTTTCATATCTTGCATCTAAACCCATCTACTCGCAGCGCCCTCAACTTTTTTGCAGGAAATCTTCAAAATCATAATCAATCGTGTTTCTATCTAATAAGCGCGAGTGCATCTCACAACAGCAAAACAGAAAATTTCCTGCATCTTAGATAGAGTCGCCCTCTCGCATTTACTCCTTCTAATGTTGTCACAAACGGAGGAGCAAAACCACCCAACAGGGGTAGTAAAGTGCGGGAACCCACGTTGAGTATAATCATAGAGGTAACTCTAAGACCACTGGGACCCGAAGAAAATCATTATTATTTTTGGCTCACTCAGTACCAGAACAACGGTCCCAAGCAGTCCCAAGCTATTTCACTCACCCCTGCATGTTCTGCATGAATCCACACACCCCTGATGTTATCTGTCAAACTTTCATAGCGAATCAAAACAAACATAGTGTAGTAATAGAATTTCAACTAGAATAGGGTACGTTAATCGTTTGCTTGGGACCAATAGGCTACTAAAGTGTTGATTGTTGGTATAATCATGTTTACCTACTTTTGGGTACAACTAACTTATTTTTGGGTAGAAATCGAGTGGAAAATTACATACGAATTGCACACAATCACTCAACGCCAATCAAAACTTTTCGGGATCCACGATGGCTTATGACATGTGTATAGTTCAAATCACAAACGAAGTGACAGACGACTAACTGGCGAAGAAATCAATTAAAATAATGTGGATCGCTGTAATAGAATTTTCTTAGAAGCTTGTGCCATCATCCACCAGATGGGATAGTTTTTTTGTTTTGGTTTTGCACAAAGTTGATTTTGTGTACAATGATTCTTTGACAGTGTGCAAAGAGTGCGTATCATTTTGTCATTTTTTTTATGCATTTCAGTTTTGAGTAGAGTGAAAGAGATAGAACCAAAACATTTTAATAATACATTTGGTGAAAATGCTAGTTCAATCCAGTAGTAGTGTTGCCATGTGTTACAATCCAGTAGTAGTGGTGTTGCCATGTGGTACACTGAAAAATTGCAATAGCAGGTTAGTCACCAAAGTTTTCGAGCCGCTCCGTCTGTCACTTCGTTTGTGGTTCAAATTGTGACACTGCTTCTCATGATAATTCTGAATCAGACAATGGCGATAATAATAATATAGGGGATGCCACCATGATAAATGACTTCTCTATCTAAGAATATTTTGAACCATTTTGATTAAAATTAGACCAACTTATATATTTTTAAAATAGGATTTAAAAATCTATCGTTCAATTTGAGAGCAATTTTGCTTGATGTTTACATTTTGGTCTTAGGCTTTTTCAGTTGTTGGTCTTGAATGGGTACTTTCATGCTAGCGTGTATTATGTTTTCAGTGTTAGGGGTAGGCCCTGCATTATCGATCATAATCAGTCCACTCTGAAATCGAATCGTAAACGTAAACAATTTTAGCGAATGCGGTATCAGTTTAAAAAATTGGATTGTTTTCTTGGATTTCTACTACATCTGCTAACAAGTTTTGCATCTAGAAAGTTAATTTATTTATAAAAAACAATCACTATTATAGCAGAATGTCCAAACCCTGTGCAATTCAGAAAGAGGTACTGGTATTCTCTCAATTAGCCTTGCCTAGTGCGTGCCAAATTTACACAATTCTTCCTCCTATTGTCTAGATTGAAAAATCAAATGAAATTATTGCCGATCTTCGTGAACGGGTACGGAAGATGGAACGACGGCTTGACGATCCCGAGATGCCTGAGGAACGCCGGAAGGAAGTTGAAACCGAACTACTGGAAATCAAGAAAATGCTGGAAACCAACGAGGAAATGTTGCACAAACTGCACCGGGAAAATTCCAAATCATTTGCCATCGCTGCCTGTCTGTTTTTCGTTTGTTTCCTAGTTTATGGTATTTATATTCTATTAAATGGTTCGTAGCATTGTTTGGGAGATCGTCTTTGGGTTTCTTTCCAATTAACCGATCGAATAAAAGCACAATCGTGATTATTCTTACCTTTATACATCGTTTGGTTTTTCTCTTGTTAATTCAGTTTATTTCGTGGATTCATTTCACAAAATATGAGACGAGGGAAATGTAGTCTGGTAATTCACAAGTCCTTATTCTAATTCTGGGAGTGATGGGATAATTTCGGCAGAGCAATGATTGAGGGAATAAGTGATTCTTACGATCTACGATACTTAGCGTCTGCCACGACCTCGTGGGCCACCGCGTCCGCCACGGGGGCCACCACGACCACCTAGAATAAATAATACTTATTAGTAAATTCCCATATAGAAATCCTATTTGATCAAAAACTACCTCGCGTTCCTCTGCCCCGTCCTCGCTGTCCACCGCGATTTGCTTCACGCTTCTTTGCTCTCGTCTTGGGAGCATCATCGATTAGCAACGTTTCCAGGGGCAAACTGTCCGGCAGGATGTAGTACCGGATGTTATTACCACGGATACTGAGCGAATCCAGCTGAACAGGATCTCGATTTTTAATGGTCATTTTGACTGCTTTCAGGTGGGTGTTCATTGCGACGTCTACACCGGTGATGGTTCCGTGCACTTGGGTACCATTCTTCAGCTCAATCGTCACCGTTTCGTGACTGAGTTTCATCAAAAATCTACAATAACAATCCAGCCAAACCGGTCAAAATAGTTGTCAAGCTTTGAGGTTAGATACGGGACCAGGGAAGCGTCCAATCGCAAAATCGCAGAAAGTGGACATTGAACAAGGTTTATGGGCAAAACTTACCGCACTAGCTTCATGTTAAATGCTTATTACACTGATTCGGTAGATTTTTGAACAGTTTTGCAATTAATATCAAACGATTTTTGACGACGAACGAATTTTGTAAGTTTTCTTTGGATAATAATTTTGCTTATTTCGCTTATAAACATCGAAGCGAGGCGAGCTGGACGAAGTTTTGACACCAAATTTACAAAATTGGCATTACACCGCGTATTTGGACATTTCGCTTGAAATGCGGTGTAAATAACTAAAGGGGTAGGAATGTGCTTGATGAATATCAAATTTTGTTCTCAGCAATAATGCGCCGCTAATAATATCAGGCGTGACATTTGATAACGGCAGAAAAACTTTTGTAAACAAAAGTTGTAAGGGCATTTACACGCGAACCGCACACACAAACCAATACAATTATCGAAAAGGAGAAAAAATTTCCCCACCCGATGATGTTGTTGGTTTACGTGGGCGTTCTTCGGTTCGCGCGTAATGGGTCTTACAACTTTTGTTTACAAAAGCTTTTGTGTCGTTAGCAAATGTTACGCCTGATATTATCAGAACAGTTTTTTTTCTTTGATTTGTTTTCCGTGCTGAGCACCAATGCTACCCACGCTAATTTGAAAGACCCTCTAAATGAGTATCTTGTTCTCATTTTTTTAATTTATTCTGAAGTGTCAAAACATGGGTATTATCAAAAAAGGGAAAGTGAGTACTTTTTATTCATTTTGGAAAGTATCTACATGCAATAAAAATGGGTAAAAATAATGAGTTGGATGTCATGTCATGATAATGAAAATGCAAAATGTCCGATCATTTTTAGCAAACGAGCGAATCGAACTTCCGTGGATTCTGCTTGTTAAGGTGATTCCTTGTAGAGTCCACAAATGGCCGCTATGTAGGCTATAACTGGATTTCCACTTCGAATTATCAAATACACAAATCTCGGAAATCGGGGCCCCATTTCACCTGAAATTGCTACTTCATGTATGCTGCAGTGCAGCAAACGTGGAGTAACAATTTGAATGTTGCACGTGTCGTAGAAGCTGATATTTGTACACTTGATGTTTTGAAGTGGTTCCCAGAATAAGGATGTCACAGCGAATCACCTTAAGTGTTTTGTAAATCGGTCAAAATTATTTCGATTCACAATATTACGCGAGTGATTGAACTAATAGATTCCAGGCTAATGTTGATTGTGACGGAATACAAAATTAAAGAAGAACAACAGTACAGTTTTCCCACACTGAACCAATATGACATATTCCTGTTATGTGGAAGTCTTTTAAATTTGCGCTATAAGATAATCAAATGAAAATGATATGATTGAAAATGTGTCAGGTAAATTCTATATGAATATCTGATACATTTACAATGCTGATAATTTGGTAACTTTTATATGATCGTCATATGATAAATGAAAATCGGTCAAATTATAATAATTAACTGAAATGAATTTGAAACCCATAAGCATAAGCTTTATTTTTCACCACAATATAATATGTGTGTCATAAATCAATTGAAGTAAAGTTTATGTGAAAATCACATGAAATTTACTCCTTCTTTTGACGCATATATTTAATCGATTTCTAAAAATAAATTGAAAAATAAACATCAGGCAGTGGGAGCTTTCACAGTTGTGTCTTTTTTATTGTAGCTGATTTGGGATTCGATCAAGTACTGTTGAGGTGTGATGCTTTCGGTGTCTGCGCTCGATTCCACTGGGCCACGGCTGACTTCAAGATTGAGCTCGTTCAATTAGCATGAAGTAAGAACAGCTCTCCCGCCATAGAATGTAGTGCAACGTTATGCTCGTTTTGCTAGAGTGAAGAAAAATAGCACTGACAAATTTATGCTCCGTTTCGGTGGTGTCGTGTATTCAAATCTTGCTTAATGCTCCTGTGTGCAATAAAACAACGACTACATTATTTGAGTTCATGGAATCTGCATCAGCCGTGTAGAAGGCTTACAATTAGAATCTTAGCAAATAAATATTGCAGTAGAATCATTTTTTTTCGATCTTATTATTATTATTATTTAACTTTATTAAAGAGGATTTCAGCCTTGAGCTGGTTCGCCTCCACGTTTTTTTCGATCTTAATACATTCTTTTCCGTAACCCCTTATCTTATGAAACAATAACAAACATGGATTATTCCATACAGTATCATTGTTGTCAGCAATATTTAGTTCGACTAATCATTTTAATGAGTGTATGATAACATCGTTGAAAATTGTTTCAATAATTTATAAAGAGCAATCATGTAAGATGTATTTTATTGGGAGCGATATTCATCCCAGAAAACCATGCCAAAACAAATGTTTGCTGTTGTATTTCTTAAAAAGCAAATCTATATGACTATATAATGATTGGGATAGATCTGTTTACAATCTTCAAACCTCAATAATCAAAGGAAGCTATTGCAATGAGATATACATGTTTTCCTATACTGCAAAGTTAAATGGCAGTTCAATAGTTTGTACATGCCTGTTTACCCGCGACATATCAACAAACGTCAATAATCGTTAAAAGCAACTCCAATAAAATATACATGATTATCTTATAAGATATATCTTTTAGTGTGCAATATTCATCATGAAAACAGGTATATTTTACTGAATTTTCTCATAGTGCAAACTTAAATGATTTTCCATTAGTTTCTAGATGTCTGTTCCCACCCATTACATATCACCAGTTTTTCACCATGAAATATATCAGACAATATTCATATACATCTTATCTATCGCTAACCACGCTCGAAGCAAAGTATTATCAAGTACTAAGTATGTGAAATTACGATAAAAATCATTCCATATCGCAGTCATAGTTTTTAAGTGATAATCCAATAGAATCTATCAATCATCACATAGAATGAATAAATCTGCTGACATTGCTATGTTATAAGATGGATCCAATAAACGGTACATGTTGATTCCCTAATAAAAAATAACCATAAACGAGCGATAACCCAAATCATTGAACTATTCCACAAATGTTTTGGATGATACCCAGAACACGTCGTTAAGCAAATTAACCATACAATTTTTATTAGGGTTTGTTTCAGTGCGGGTATGGTCCTGTACCACTTTTACGAGGTAAGAATCAAAAGTGTCATTATGATGAGGATTAAGGGGGTATTCCCGATCTGTTTTTTCAAAAAAATCAAATTTTTTTTTCACGTTTTTTTTGTACTTTAGACTATATACTTTCATCCCCCAAGCCGTTTTCCGATCAGCGAATTCGGTGTCCAGTTTTTCGCGCCTTGAAATAAAAAATGCAGCGCCCGAAAAACGGCTCTCCGCGCGCAACTTTGCGGTCGGGACTGACACTGCTCTGCAGGTATTCCAGACTTACCAATACATTTAGGTGCATGTACGGGCAATAGAGTCAAACGCGTTTTTCTCGAAACCACATTTTTTTTTATCGGGCGAAGATTTTTCTCAGAAACTATAAGAGATACTCGAAGAGATATTGACTTGAATCTTTGCGCATTTTGTTCCTTATTAAATTCTTTGGAGCTTCTCCCACTTTCAGCCAAAAATATTAACATTTAACATTGTTTGAAGCACCTTAAAGCTGCAAAAAAGCGGGCTAAAAATCGCCTGTTTTTTTCATATGGCCGCCATTTTGTTAATTTGCAAGATTTTTTGCTGCCAACGGGAGAAGCTCCAGAGAATCTTATGCAGATTATTAATTTCATCACGAAATCTGTTTCAGATGAAGCCGTTCCAGAGAAAAGTCTTCGCCCGTCCAGGCGTTTGCGGCGAACAGGGGTCTGTTTGCCGCCATTTTGTGACGTCAATAATGTCTTTTTTATGTCGAAAAAAATTTATTTGTAAACTTTAATGTTCAATAAACAAGAATCCCAAAGAGTTAGGCGCATTACTATTCATTTTCCTTGAAAAAAAATAATTGAAAAACAGGCCGAAAAAAGGCAAAAGATTGGGAATACCTCCTTAAGTTGGCATAACAAAACTATAACCCGTTTCCAGTGAAAGGAGAAACAAAGTTTATATTTGTAAACATTCGGACCCATTCGATGAGCGACATCCCTCAAGGATCGATTCCAGCAGTGAACTGTGCTGCATGACAAAAACACCCTTCGAGGAAAGCCTCGATTGCATCATACCGGTTGATGCTGGTGATAATATTATGTTTACATGGCTAATTTTTTCCAATAATTATGTGGCAATAACAAAAATATGACTTGTTTCAATGATTTCAGTTTATAATTGCAAAGATTTCAAGAGGTTCTTTATTTTATGACTGGCAGCCCCATGAAGCAAAAACAAATCAATAAAAATTTGTACTTTTTACACCCATTTTGTGACGTATCCATTGAATACTCATTAATGAGTAAAGTTGGTTTTACTCATTTAATGAGTTAAGCTACATTTCTTCAAAATGGGTGGTGGAGTGTCTGCCTACCGACGTGTTTGGGGTATCATCCAAACCATTGTGGCTTGAGCAGCTTGCTTGAAAGTGGGCTATAGAATTCTAAGCAGCCTCATTTTTAAGTCGTTATAAGAACTTGAAAGTTCCGGTACCATAATTGAAGAGCATTCTAAGCAGCTTCTGGCGGAACTTGGACGGAACATTAAGAAAATAAGTTAATAAAGAAGGTTTCTGTCCTCTACACCAATTCTATATTTAATTCGTGGGGGGCGACACATCTAAATCTCAAGTTTAGATGGCCAACAAATCTCACACTAGCGAATCAATCTTCGAACAATCTTTTTTCATTTGTCCCATCTACTTGCATCGCTCATCAATTTTTTGCAGGAAATCTTCAGAATCGTCATCAATCTTCTTTCTATCTACTCAGCGTGCGCGCAGCTAGCCACAGCAAAACACAATCTTTTGTGCATCGTATGTAGATAGAGTCGTCCCCCTCGATTTAATTAGCACTTTTATGAAAGTTACTTGTAAAGGCAGGTTTTAATGTGTATTGATTTATCAGCATTAGTAGTTAGAATTGGAGCTGTTTGAAGAATTAAACCCAGTCCTTCTGCGTGAGAGCCCCAGCACGAATCGCTACGTCATCTGAGATTTATTAAAGTGAGCTGTTGTCCCGCCTACTGTTGGAGTTTTCAGTGCCAGCTGACTGACTTAAATGTGAAACACAACACCTTGATGAATTTTAAATTGGTGTTTGCT